AGGATCCATTAATTAGACACAAGCGAAAAAAAGGCACAAGAATCTGGACCAGTTTAAATCTATCTGTGCTGAACATCGTCCTGCCCTCATGATGCAAGAGAATGAAATGAGTAGGTACCTCATTAGAGTACACATGAAGCTTTATGCTGGATTGTTGTATTTTGGGAATTGTGACACATGTGGATCACACATACATGCACATCTAACTGAGGTCAAAGTACAGCATTTAAATTAAAATATTTTGTGATCATTTGATTCGTTTTCTTGAATCAGTTCAAAAATATCAGTTTCAATGAATCAAATTAAAACTCAGAGATACTGTTCTGTTCAAGTTTGTGTTATTTTTCATGTATTAAAATTATATAGAGGCAAATATTGCTGTTTATTATTATGTATTGATATACTGGTGAATATTAAATATAAGATTAAAGATTAAATATAATACTCACAGAAAAAAACACTGACACAATGCCTGGATTGTTTTGAATCTAGTTGGCAACAACCATTGTTTATTCAAAATGATGGTTCCTTTACATAAAATAAATCACCCTATTTTCAAGAATTTCAGAGTGTATGAGAGAGAGTTTGTGTGTATATATATATATATATATATATATGCATCTCAATAAATTAGAATGTTGTGGAAAAGTTCATTTATTTCAGTAATTTCAGAGTGTATGAGAGAGAGTTTGTGTGTATATATATATATATATATATATATATACTATATATATATAAGATAGATATAGATATAGCTTTGCATTTGAAAAATAATATTTCATACATCAGCTACATTCTAGAGACATTTTGCATATTAATTTTATCCCACAAAGTATTGCTAGGTTAGACAGACCCCCCCCCCCCCCACACACACACACAGTTAAGCACATTATTTCAAGTCACAGAGGCAAAACAAAACAAATTTAAACACAATTTCCACATGCAATATCCATATATATGCTAGAACTGATTTGTTATGACACCAGGACCACACACTGTAAACACATTACAGTAATTCTCAGTGAATTTTTCCACAAAGAGAAAAAGAAATATGACCTATTTTGCATCTGATGGAATCAAATCCACTCGGCGCCAACACAGGGCATCTATAAATGCATGACTCTCACGTGGCACACGCCCACGCTGCCATTTTCTAGGCAGAGAAGTGGCGCTTCAATGCCCTCTGCCCATCTCTAGATCTAAAAGATACCCTAGGGTGTTTAATGACATGCACAGCTCACACAGGAAATGCTAATTTATTATTTAAAGCCCAGCACATAGCCTGACGGCCCGCTGCAGCAAGATGTCCCTGTAGATCAGAATAAGCACATGGGTTCCTGGCATGCCAAATCCCATCGAGCCGAACACCACGGCCACAGATGTGGAAGGGATATCAGAAACAAGGTATCAAAAACAAGACAGACCAGCCACATATCCATAAATGTGGTGATGTAACAGGTAAAATGCAGAGAAAGTATACTTCAGAGAAGAAAAACCAAAGAGAAGGAGTGGGACAAAAGATAAAGAAGATAATAAAAAAGCTGTCACTTCTGAACATCACTCGTGCGGGTGGTAGTCACAAAGGAAATCAACTTCTGATAGAAATATTAAACATCTCATCTGTCAGTCACAAGCAGACGGTGCATGCATGTGTTTTTCTAAGCATGTTGGGCTCCTTTGAGACGGCCTCAGTTGTCTGTTTGTTGTGGCTGCTGTTTGAACAGAAACAAGTAAAACACAGCACTTCGTTTCTCTTGCTGCATTTCTATCATTAATGCTTCTTTAAAAAGCTTATATGCTGTGAGCCACTGTCAGACAATAGAAAAAACAGTTTATCTGAGGATAATCCAAGCTCCACACATCATTTTAAGATTAAGTATTCTCACAGAGCAGATCTGAAGCCATTAAATGAAAAAAACTGGTCATGCACAGTATGCAAAATTATTCCAAAGACTACAGATCTCATTTACACTACACACACATTTGCTGTATTACAAGCAAATCAATTGATCTGCATGAAATACTATTTCCTTTTGTAAACCATTTGTACAGTAAAAATAACCTCTATTATCTACAGTGCCTTTATCTACAAAGGCCACACCGACAATCTGGGACTGGAAACAAACTGAAAGTTTTAGGATTTTTAAATTTAAAACAAAGCAATATTATGAAATAGAATAAGAATATTTAAGATTCTGTACTTGAGCTCACTAATCAAAGAATAATTATATGGGTCAGTGATGTGATGCAAATTTTTTTGTCTCATCTCTTAGTTTATTCAGAAATATTTAAAAATGCAGTTCATATACAAAATGACTTGAATATACATCATCTATGATGAGCATGTTTTTAATTTCTGAATTAAGATAAAAAAAATGTTTGTGGTTAGTTAAGAATGTAAAATATAATGTGGTGTGACTCCCAAAAAACAATTGTATTTTTACACACATTTTTCAAAAACAATTAGGCGATTAAATTAAATCTTTTCTTGAAAATTCTTCAAAACCATAAATACCAAAAGTAAATTTTTTACAACTTGACAGGTGCTTTAAACTAGATTTTTTTCTTCTTTCTTGTGCACAGTATTTTATGTCACTGACCCACATAATATAATCACATAATAATCTATGTTCATTTTTCAGTTCTTCTAATTCACAAACTTTTCATACAGATTGAACAATTACGTATCTATGCAGCTCACTATTCCTTAGCATAATGCACAGCAATTTTCACACTCTCAAGCGCCACTTAAATTCCTTTAGCCCTTCTTCCAGGTCTCGGTTAATTCGAGGATGTTTAAGGGGGAGACCTCGACGGACACTCTGGAAAAGTGTTAGGAAGATGAAGAGCCCAAGAAGTTCCATTAGCTCTTATTACAGAGAGCTCTCCTGTCTAATGGCCGCTCGAGTCTAATGTGCATCACAAAGGTCTGTAATCAAAGAACCACAGACTCCTCTTTGATTTTGTATTCCTCTCTATCCAGCTTTTATCGTTAATTAGATATTAAAAATCCATCTAAAAAAAAAAAATGAAGTAGTTGATTTGGACAGCACAGCTGTGCAGAGAGAGAGAAAGAGATTGTAATGGATGATAATGGAGCGCAGATGGCGCAAACTTAGAGAGTGTTGTGGACACTGCTGTGCTGAGAAGCGAGGAGTCTCATATTTCCATGGCAACATTTACCATCATCGACGGTGTGCGGAGGGTGGCGAGCTCCACCATTTTGTAATGCGATCCACACACGAGGCCATGATAAGCCAATATCACGATTGGACGTTAATAGATCGAAATATCTGTTATTGCACAACTATCGCTTTCACACGACGTGCCTGGAGTGCCCTTGAGCAGGGAGGTAATTTAATATGCAGTGCCAGAATCAGTTTTAACCATATCAAATTACGATTTTATTGTTGTGGAGGCTAAATCACAGTGCGTAAAGTCACGCACGAGGAGACGAGACTGAACTGGCCTTGGCAAGCCTGTCAATCACCCCGCTCAGCCTCCTGCTCTGACATGTAATTACAGCACCACCGTAATTAGAGCTCACTGTCAGGGCCTTGAATGATGCCTCGTGCTCGACTCAGAGAGAGAAAGACCAGCAAAAGAAAACCTGCAAATTGTAAAGGAGAAAGCATGTCCACCTACACAGCACTCATCTTCCCCACTGATTTCTCCCCTTTATGGCCCTGATTCCATTTGCCTGTGGGCTCTCTCTGTTCACACAGACTTATTGACTGACTCTAGTCTCCCAGCATCCCCCGGCACACTCTCTCATCCTGAGCCCCAGCACATCCACAAAAGAAACGGGCCAATCACTTTACGTCTGAAAGCAATTGAATTGTGCTGGGCCGAAACCCTTTGCCGGTTTGGTAATATGCGATCCAGCCACGGACTTGTCTTTAAGTGCCCTGGTCTTAGTCTTGAGGCCTCTTTTGCTTGAGAGAGCACAGAGTTCATTTTAAACCGGCCTCGTTGCTGTCTGGGTCACTTATTGAAACACCACTTATAATGTTTTGGATGGCAAAAGAGAAGCTGAGCGAGTATATGTGAGAGGAATAAAGAGCGAGGCCAAGGGTAATGATGTAGCCGGCCAGTAACAGCATAGAGATAAAACAACACACTGACCTAGACAACACACAACCTGTCTGCTGCAATCTAAATGCACCTGTCGGTTCCAACACTCTGAGCCAATGGAGTCTTCATGACCTCTTTATGACCTTTTCAGTTCTTTATGATAACTGGATAAGTGTTTTTTAAAAAGTGAGACCTATTCTAATGAATCATTTGGACCACTTTGTCAACTGAAGATTAATTTGCTCAGAAATCAGACATTGCTATGATCTGCAAGCAAGTTTTACTCTACCTAAAAGCAACATCTAGAATATTAATTTCACAACTAGCACAACACGTTTAATGGCATGAGAAATTTCTAGACTTTTCAGAGCCTGGAAAACTCCATTTTAAAGGTGCACTCAGCAATTTTTTCCTCATTAAAATGTTTTACACAAAAACAAACAAATGTTAATTTGGAAAAATGTTCACGTAAACATATATCATCATCATGTGCACTCACATGGGATGAAGACATATTAATGTTAATAATAATACTAGAAACCTAATGAAAGCTGTTTTATTTCAAATGAAGCAGGACGCCTCATGGGGGCAGACTTTTTGAGATCACATGACCAGCCTAATACTGTTCACTAATTATCTCAGTAACCCCCCTTTATTGCACACTTTTGCTTGTGTAATAAATGAATAATGTCTGACTGTAAACAGCGCATTTTTACAACGTCGACGTTAATTGAAAATTTTTTAACGTTGCATGATTCCAAAATATGTACAACAATCACTGAGTGCATCTGTAAAATTCCCTGTTGATTCCAAGTTTTTCATGAATGTAAGACACTAGTGTTATTCTGACAAGGAAAAAAAATACAAAATCAAACGCCAGCATCAGCTTTCACAGGATATTGTACTAGAATAAAGTGGCCGCTGACCTGTGGAGTTGTCGTCTGCTTGCCCTGGCGGTTGGATGCGGTTGTAGTGGTGATGTCGGTGATGGAGGGTGACGTTTCTGAGCGGTTGCCTGTGGCGGAGGCGCTGGACTGAGGCGTAATAGACGAGGAGGGCATATCTCCCACCAGCCGGGCACTACCCTCCACACGTACGTTGGGGTCGCCCTCGGCAGCCATGTTGAGCACTTTTAGGCCATTGTAGTAAAGCCCTGAGAGTTGGCCCTGGAAGGGCCGGCTGCCCTTCTCCCAGCCTCCAATCTTTATGGTGGTCTGACTGTTGAAGATGGTGAGCTGCCGACCTGCCGGGGAAGAACGTTACAGAAAATACAAGAGTGTTCAACGGCCCGCTCCCCCACGCCATGGAGACACACACATACACATGCACACGCTAACAAACATAGATGCGCACACGCACGCACGCACGCACACGAGAAAACAGAACTGATGGAAGTCCTGATGGTAAAACACACAACACCCGTAACCTTATTTTCCCTGGGGATCATGAAGCAATAAATTACACTAATGCTAACAGCAACACTGGTAATTTATCGACTGTAATTTAATGGCTGCTGTTGGCACAAAGTAAATAAATGAAGGGGATGAGAAAGCTGGGTCCTAAAAAAAATCAATGGGACTTTGCTAAAAGGACAATCAAATACATACTATGATGAGAGACAAAAATATTCTTCATCTGTAAAAAGTACAAATTTCCCCTTTTTACATGAGAAAATTACTTTTAATCTTTAAATACAGCAGTATGCACAAAGCCTGTATGCACAGGTCTAGTAAATTTAATTGAGATTGCCTTTCAGCAAGGGCAATGGCAATTAAAATTAATTAGACTGAAATAAGGTTTATGTGAGAATGGCTTTACAGCTACATGACACATTACAAATGATTCATCATGGTTATAATTCCATTGAAAAGGGAAAGCAAGAAAACAAGCAAACTTGAAAACAAATCACTTTGAAAGATTCAATTTGTTACATACATTGCAGCATGCATTCAATCTTTTCCCTTCTTGTGTGTTTAACTTGCTTGTTAAAGGGACTTCATATCTGATGCCAATAATCATTGAAGCTATTTAAGAGATATTTGCTTTAAGTTTTTAACTGTGCACTTTAGCAGTTTCCAAAAGAAATATGTTTAGCATGACAAGAAAATATGCATATATAAATTAAATAGTGTGTGTACATCATTATGAATTCAAATAATTTCAACTGTGGACATGTACTTTAATTAGTCATTTAGATTATCACTGCTGCAAAATAACATTATTTAAATAAGTATTTTAATGATGTAAACATATTTTGTTAATGATTGAACTAACTTCAGTTATCAGTATATTACCAGTCCCTTTAACCTCTGACAGGTTTACAAGTACAGTATGACAACACATTATTTAAGTGTACAGTGCAAATATTACAAACTACATTTGTTTAATTTTTAAACTTGGTTAAACAGGGGATTTATGTTTTAGATGGTTTATTTGCTGTGCAAAATATCACTTGCTTATGATCAAATTATCTTTTATTTAAAGTTTTAATCAGTGTTTTTACCTTTGTCGAGTAGCCATTCGTCAACTACTCGACCAAGCCGATATGGGATTCGCTGTCTAGCAATCGCCAGGCGTTCGTTATCAATGTTGCCTTTAAAGTTTAAAGAGACATTTCATTGTTAAAAATCTGAAAGGTCAAAGATTAAAACCTACAGTGAAACATATACCTTAACTGTCTGTTTTTTTTTTCCTCTTATTTTTCTTTCATTTTTTTTTATTTGGAACACCAAGGTTGCATACATAAGAATGATGAAGCTTTTCATTCAATTAAAATTTAAGCAAACAAATTAACCCTATTTTAATAGAAGCACTATGTTAAATATGCACCTACTCTTCTTGTGTTAAGAGAAACCCACCAGACTCAATCACGTTTATACACAATATCATTCCTTTACATAATACATTTACAAAATAGTAATCTTTTAAATCTTTTTAGCAGATTTTTTCATCTAGTTATACATGAAAACTAGCTCATTTTAATCTAAATATTGTCATTACAGTACATTCCAGCGTTTTGCAACCAGTTTGATTTTAGCTTCACATTTGCTATCTAATCTAAGGTATTTTCAGTCATTTTTGATATGATAAATTTCACATTATCAGATCACAATACATTTAAAAACATCAAAGTAGCAGAAAAAACACTCAAAGGATTAAAGCAACAGGAAGATTATCAGTTCATCAGTAATGCATGAAAGATCAGTCACTATTCATGTTCATGTTCCCCATGTGAATTTGAAATTGCTCTGACAAAAGCTTGACCTCAGAGATGTCCATATGCACACATTTAGGTACTTGTCCCCTACAGTGGGCGCCACGTGATCTCGAGCAGAAACTGTACTTAAATGCTGATATTTATGCAACATGTCCAGGTCGAGCCAGCTACGGTAGCTCTATTGAATTGAAATTATTTGAAAACATTTACTTCTTTCCCATTACGGCCCACACATAATTACCACTGCTGACTTCACTGGAAAATTCAACACAAACCTGACTTGCTCAGATTTCCAAAGAGTGTAATTATGCCTCACAATTTTTACTCTATGAGCAATTAACTTGTTATTTGTCAATCAAATACGAGTTGCACTCTCTCTATATGCGATTAAAGTATGATTAAAATACGAACGGATGAAAATGTTTCCTAAACGAGATGTAACAAGAGTAGAGTAGCGAATCAGCCCGAAGGCTATGATGTGAGAAATTCAGTGTGATTTCCATTCTAATGTGTCCTCATTTCCTATATACATATGCACAAATACTATACACTAAACTGACCGAACAGAAAATTCTATCATCAAACCTATATGACTTTCTTTCTTCAGTGGAACACAAAAGAAAAAAAAATATATATATAATGGATGCTCTTTTTCATGCAATGAAAGTGAATATGAAACATTTTTGGTCATCTTGTCATCTGAGCTAGATCTTTATTTACTTTAATTATGTGGAAAATAGTGGCAAAGACATTATTCAAACTATTTCCTTTTGTGTTCTACAGAAGAATGAACGTCAGGTTTGAAATGACAAAGGTATGAAAGTTTGGCAAATGATTCCTTTAAAGCACTAAATTTAAGTTTATACCTCCTTGAGTATGGCTGCTCTAGTCGACTGCACTTTTGAGGTAAAGCTCTTTATTCTGTATCCAACACTGAAATTACATAACTAAATTGCTTCTCAAACACAGTACAATACTGTTTTTGATAGGTGATTGCAGAAGGAGAACACCCGCGGACAGGGAAATAAGGCTTCCGCAGGGCTGCACGTAAGGACAGATGGAGTGCTTGATTCTGGACTTGAGTCTGAGCGTGCCGATATTCTGCTGTGAGAGCAGAAAGAAGTTTGAAACTCAGTCTAATACAATGAGTCCCCCTTTCCTTTTACTTTCATTCATTTGTATTTTTCCCCCTTTCTTTAATTCTGTCATTTTCTCTCCCTACCATGTGCAGTCAGGTCTAACTGTGATTTATGTCCACTTGTGCACTTTACCTACAGTAATCAAGAGTGAAAGGAGCAATTTGTCTCAAATCATAGCTTAAAAGAAATAAGACAAGAAGGGGGAAAAAAGCAATAGGAGCTCTTGAAGTAGGACTGGATGACTAAGGGCAAGTTGTGTGCATGATTGCTTGAATGCACATAAACACGCACGCACGCACACCCACCCACCCACTCATACACACGCAGTGGTCATGTTCTGTTTAAATGAGGAGGCAGTTGCCTTAGGGCCTCTCTGTAAAGTGAAAATGACTGCCTAGTTAGCTTAGCATGCTAACAGTCTGAACACTCTTCCTTTGCAAATACAAGACTAAGACACTTTCCTGTTTCAGCAAAAGGCATCTAAATAATCCAAGAAAACATTTCTGTGCTTTTATATCTGTTCTGCATCCTTTTGTAATAGATGTGATTGTGATTTTCAAGGACAGCAACAACACCTCAATTTATCCCTCCGCCAGTCCAAAACTCATGCTGTGGCCATATCGGTGCCCAGCAGTAGCTGTATGGCGGTAATTCTGTCAGGAACATTACAGGAATTTTTTTTTTTACCAAATATGAAAAAGCTCTACTTAAGTGCTTGCATCCATTTAAAATGTCTACAGATGGACATAAAGCATAGGTGATTTTAAATGCTACTGTATATATGGGGTTGTGGCCCTCAACTTTCATCAAAGTTCCTTTAAAAATCTGTGATTACCTAAGCTGTCAGAACTCTTAATTAAAAGTCTTTCCATCACGTTTGCTGAAAACTGACTGCATTTTATTTCACTCTCAATCCTTCCCTTAACAGTCATTAAGAAACATTAAAGGGATAGTTCACCCAAAAATGAATATTCTGCCACCATTTACTCACGCTCATGTTGACTTACTTTCTTTTGCTGAACACAAAAGATATTTTCAGAAATGTCTCTTTTTTTGTGGTACAATGGACGTAAGTGGGGTCCTGTGTTGTTTTGGGTTGCATTTAAATTAAAAACAGCCAAATTCAGCCCAAAAATGGCATAACTTTCATATTTTTGTGAAGTATTATCCTTCCTGCCAGTCAGTGTCAGACCAAAGAGCTCCCCATTCTACTAAAATAACAATATAAAATGCAATACAAAACACTCCTGATACACATTCAGTGACAGCTATTTTGATTGAAGCTTTATTTGAATTTGATTTAATTAAATTTTTAAGTAAAACAGAAATTTAAGTAAAAATGTAAGTAAAACGGACAAAACTTCAGGGGGATGAATTAATGAGAAGGAAGTTGAATATACATATAAGTGTTTCACTTTGAAAATTAAATTTCTTAGTTTAATATATCCATTATTACTATATGTAATTACTACATTACAACTGCATTACAATACAATTGGTTAGGTGAAAGAATGACGGCATAGGTTAAGAGTGGGAGGAAAAATTGCATGATTTCTTTGTATGCTAAAGCTACACTAGTTCCAGAGCTAATTGTTCAAGATAAACAAACTCCCCATTTTGTTCTCCCTCATTGTCAATTTAAATTCTATGCATTTATTATCTCGTCTAACGCAGAGCAGAGTCAATCAAGCACTGATTAAAATGAAGCGGTCATGACTAATTTTCTTTCTTTATATATTTCATTGGAAAAGTTTCTTCCATTCTGCCACAGACATACGATGCATTAGTATTCAGGCAATCACAAGTGCACTGCTCACTAGTAAATCCACAGACACAATGGAAACAGGAAGCCGAGAGAAAATGGCACATTACAATGACTCGATTTTAACAAGCAATTGTCTTCCACTCCAAATGAAAGACGCTGCTGGTATTTGTGTTGTTTGTTTACACTAAAACAATAAGAGGGTCTCGACTAGGAAAAACAGTACCTCTCTCTCGGTGTCTGTTTCTATTTCTATCCCTCTGTATTCTTTATAGTCCTGTTACCAAGAACTTATGTCTATTTCTATGATATTTTGTTTCAGTGTATGTCCTAGTTTGCCTAAGCTGCTGTAAATAGTAAATGTCAACTCTTGGATTTGGATAATGCTGTTAAGAATCTTACTCTTCTCCAAATAATAAATAATACAAAATGCAATTCTATGCAAGCAATGTATCTACAGCTGAATCTAGTGTGTCTCACGAGTATACATTTGCATTTTCCCCGCACATTTTGAATTTAATGACAAGCTGTATTGAACGCAATGATGAGCAACGGACGACAACGCAGCACTTATGGGAAGCATGAGATTTTCCGAGCTTCATTACCACTTCAGTCGTCGAACACTCAACATTTACCACCAACAATCTATCACGTCTGCTCCCAAGAAGAAAAGACGTTTGTGAAGCTCAAGAGCAAATCATCTCTGTAATGGAAGAAGTAAAATACAAATTAAAAGACTAATACAGCCACCTCCTTTTCATCTTGATTGACAAACGAGAGCAATGGGATTATTTCTCATCTCTGATCTCTTGTCAAGCTTTTGTCAGGGCTTTTCAGGCGACTGAGAGGCTGGTGAATTTGATAACCCTGGCTCTGACATTTTCAGCCTTCTAAAGCCCCAAGAGCAATCATCTCTGCTGACATTTGGAAAGGATACCAGGGTTACCTTTTTTTAAACTGTGAGAAACCACAATCACAGACAAAAGCATTTTATTCTTAACCCTGTGATTCAGACTCTTTTTCCTGAGCTCTGCCAGCCTTTTATTGTTCCCGTTGTGCATAGCTGCATGGCTGAGATTATGTGTGAGTGTGTGTGTGAACATGCGTATAAAGGCTGAGGGCTCTTACCTGTTGGGTAGCGCTCAATGACTGGCAGATCATCCACCTGCAAGGTGGCGTTACCACCACTTCTCGTAAAGCGAACTATGTGGTACTTTCCATCATTTACAAACTTAGAGGTTTCTTCAATGTTTATGTCATCGGTGCCCACATTGAACACCACTTTGATATTTCCTTTTTCCTGTAAAGATAGATAGAGAAAGGAAAAAAAGAAAGAAAGGGAGATAACAGAAAGAGGTCTTTAAGATTATATCATAGTCATTCTGTTCTGATTCACTCTGCCAACATAAAGCTTTGAGTTATATGCACTGCCTTATTTTAGCATATGAACATCACCCTGTTTTAGCAACCTTGCAGAACACAATTTTTGATTATTAATAAACGCTCTCATAAAGAAGCAGCTATACTCCATCTTAACTGGCAGAATGTACCGAATTTATTGAGGACCAAACAAGGTGATAGTTTATCAGCCTGTGCACAATTTCTCCTGACAGCACAATGCATCAGAAAGATTTACCACCACTTTAATTCGCCCGCAAAAGGCGGCATTCATATTTAATAACAAAAATATCTATAATTTTTGTTTTAATGAGGCTATTAGATGAAGGTAATGGATAGTAATAAAGAAACTGGCAAGTATTTGTCTCCATTTTAGCAGTTTTGCTATTCTCTTTTGATAATAATTAGTGGGGATATATTTGTTATGTCTGTGTATATAAAGACAATATTAAATTTTAAATGAAATCGACATCAAATTTAGTGTGTATTATTGCATTTGCAATGTGATATGTAAGTGATGTACAGGCTAATAAATCCTGAAAGGTTGATTGCCCATCGTACAGCGGGAGGGTCTTGTATCACCCTAAAGTAGTTTATTTTGGACTAATGACCAGCTGACTGTACACCATTCTGTTTATTACATGATTACTTACCAATTAAAGAAATAAATGGACATGAAATATTGATTTCAGTTGAAATTTTTTAATTACAAGAAAGAAAATGCTCAGTGATATGAGAGACATACTGTAGCTGATGCCTTCTACAATGTTCAATTAAACAGCCCAGTGCTGATTATACAAAAACATTATATAGCTTTATAGAATACTGTGATTAAAAAAAAAAAAAAAAGACTGCTACACTGTATAAATGGCATAAAATATAAAATAATTTTGCAATCCTGCAGGGTGATACAAAACCCCTCAGATTTGTGTGGGGTTCTGATTTTATATATATATATATATATATATATATATATATATATATATATATATATATATATATATATATATATATATATCAACACAGATGGAAAGACGTAAACTTACATGCTACATTTATGGCAAAACATTTATTACCACCAGCAATCCGTAATTTTAAAGGGGGTGGCATGACTGCTGCAGATGTCAAAATAAAATTTACTGTGTCACATTAAGCCTTGTAAACTAAATAATACTACTTTTTCATTCCCGTTCATGTTCAAAAGTTTCTCAACAAGCCTGCAGGCAGATAACATAATCGAATCACAGGAAAAAAAATAACCTTATAAGATTTTTCCCCTTCAAATCAGTGCCTCAAGGCAATATGCTGGTCATACAGAATAATGTGTGACAGTCTCACTGAAACGGAATCTAATCTGTATTCTGATGCGCCGCTTGTCATTTTCAGTGTAAATTCTCATCAATGCATGTTTCTGTCTTATTAATGCGATCAGTGAGAGTGAAATCACTCTGTGCGCTTCACTTCCACACCACTAGATGGCCTCAATTCTTAATGGTTTCCTATTTGATGCAGCTCAGTGGGTGGGTTGTCTTTTGCTAATTACAATAAAACGTATTCATGTGCAAACAATCTCTTCTCATGAAAGCACATAATAATACTCACACGATCCACTTGGTGCTTGTCTTATATAAAACCGTAACTATGCCCACTCTGTGCTCTGCTTGATGACCTGCGTGCCTACATGCACTACTTAGTTAACTAAAAAGTTGTTGCAAACTTGTTATGAATGCTATTACAAGCCTGCACACGAGTGCAAGCAATCGTGAAAATTGTTATTTGACATATTTACGACAGATGGAGGCCATTAGTTTAAAAAAACTGAAATAGGCTGCTGTGGGAACGTGTGGTCCTTTCGATTGATTTGTTGCAGATTGCAAAAGCTACACGTGGCATTTGAAAATAATGAAATGAGGTGTGTATGAGAAGATCCCTTTGTGAATTCCCCTAATTCACACCTATCTGCAGGAAGAGAGCAAGCAGAGGACAAATCTCAACACCAGACTTCATTATACCCTCCCAGGAGATGTGTGTTTTTGTCTGGATACTCACAAGCTCTCTTTTTCTGATACACACACACACACACCCCATGTTGTCATCTCCAGCTGGGCAGAAGCTGGATGTTCCTTCCGCCTCTCACACCTCATAATGAAGACAGACTCTGCCCGTTAGCCCTATCCTCTTTCCATCAACGGGAACAATGGGGCAGTGTCTCCTTCACCCTCCTCTGCGCTCTCTAACAGCATTTCTCCAGGGCCAATCTCTCACTCCCTGCCCATCTTTTCAGCTTTCTGGTCAGAGAAGTGATGCGAGAGCTTGGCCTGCATTCCAACAGGCTGTGACACACCACGCCCCCTTCTAATTGGAGAACGACCTCTCTTTCACCCTTCCGTCCAGGCCGTCCCTTCGGGTAGCTGACCTCATCCTTCATTCTGGGTTTGGTGGCTGGGACCAACACCAAGCGTGTCATGCCTTTTCAAAACTCGGAAATGACAGCATTGAATCAACCACATCCTGGCCAGGGGGAATGTGAACATAGTAATGAAGTCCGCAAGCATTTTTTAAGTTAGTTCTAACTTGGACGAGGGGTTTGGACTTTTGCAGGGGTCTTCTTCCTAAAACTTAAAGTGGGCATAGTTTAAGAGAGACACCCTACGTCCTACATTCAGTCCCGGGTGTGATAATGTCCCAGTTTCTCAGATTTTTCTGTAAAAAAAAGGCGGCTCTATTATGAATGCCTCAGGGGCTAAACATACGGGAGGGGAGAGCAAAAATGAGCCGTGACACCAAATCCCAGATTATCACAGAATAACAAATGTTTTGGGTGCTGTGCTCAGGATTTGGTGTTCGCTAAATGATCCCTTAAGCGAGCGAAGGATGGGGTGTCATTTAAAAGGAAGGCCTGGTTCCACATGGCTGCGTCTCGGCCATTCCTGTCCGTCTCAAGCTTCATGTCACCTCTCCACCGAGACCCGCAGTGCTGCTCTAAATATAAAGAACTAATACAACTGGATTCTCATTAGACTCAATGGGGGTTGGTATAGCAACACTGTTCTCTAGAGTTCTCTCGTTTCTTGTAGGCAATTAGATGACAACCACGGTACCATCCTGATTGACAGAGCATTTCATCTACTCTGGAACTGCAACGACCTCCTCTTGCCATACACAAAAATAATTCAGTTGTTCTGAACTTGAGAATATATAGTTTAGAGCAGTAGGTTTATTGTGCTTAAAAATATACTTGTTACCAAATATTTATTTATTACTTAAGGCAAGACACCACAGGTGAAAAAAAAAAAAAAATCATCACCATATTTTGCAATTTTCATATTCACAGTGCATTAAGTCAATACATTTTGTATTACACGTTTTCTAAAATGTTGTTTAAATATGCAAATGAGGCATTACCTAATTAAAAATACACTAATTTGCATTCATCTCCAGACCTGAAATCTGGAATATTGGATAAAGCCAGGTTCAAAATTCATGTTTCGTTGATATCTTAGAGTTAAATGTTTTCACAGAGGGGATTTTTAATATTTTTAATCACTGAAAAAAAATCACCAGGAATTAAATGTTGTATAAATCAGGCAAATGATATATGAACAAACCTCTGTAAAAACCTTCAGAATATAGATAGAAATAAAACTGGAAAGTTTGGTGTATGTAAGCGCTACTAAAGTGGAGATTTCTGGCTTAGTGCTTAAGAAAAAACTAATTTTGAGAAAATGGCCTTTAAAGACATGTATTGTATTTAAATCTACAGATGTAAATAGACAAAGTGTAATAAAAATGTGTATTTTAGAATGAAGAAGACCAGTGCTTTAAAAAACAATTGCCTGTGGTGTCTTACCTTAAAGTGGCGGTTTACCAAAAAATGGAAATTCGATCATCATTTGCTCACCCTAATATCATTCCAAACCTTTGTGACATTTTCCCTCTGTGAAACACACGCTGTGAAAAAGATATTTCAGAGATTTAATTGTTTTTGTCTATATAATGAATGTCAATGGGGTCCAAAACCACCCCACTGACTTCAACATACCTTCTTTTGTGTTCCACAAAGAAAATTGCACTGGTTTGGAACAACATATGGGTGAGTAAATGATGACAAATTTCATTTTTGTGTGAACTATCCCTCTAGCTCTAAATAAATCGATGGAATAATTGTGATATTAGTAAAAGTCAGAACGCTCCATCAAGAGGAGCCAAACACACACACACACACACACACACACACAAAGGTCTGGGACGGTTGCTCCGGAAACCTGAAGGACAGAAGAGCCACTAATGATGTGTCTTATTTAGGAAAAGGTGCAGGCAGCAGCTTATGGAGTATGACGGAGTGTGTGTGCCACAGAGGGGATGCTGATCTGCCATGGCATTCAGCTTAAATGAGCTGGTACATCCAGGAAACCTCAGCCACTTTACATAAAGAGCCTCTCAGTAATGCTCAAGCTAATACCAAGGGAATTCGCTTAATTGGATAGAACGTGTGGTCGCTCTCATAAATAACTTGTGTTTGATATTAGATCAAAATATCACACAGTGTGTGACACGCTCCAGAGTGCATGTGCCCTTGTTTGAGTACTGCAGGTTTGGTGAAACAGGTAAATTTGTTGTGTCCGCAGAATAATTCCACTTTGGCAAGCAGTTCTTGTTGTTTCACCCCCTCCTCCCTCCTCTCTTTGTGTGTATCTCTCTCTCGCTCTAGCATTCGCTCGCTCTCGCAATCGCTCTTTATCTTCTGGTAAGGACTGGATCTGGTGAGATCATGAATCTTCTTGGCAGCAGAGAATTCTTTTCCAAGTACTCTAACAACTGAAAATAGCACTCTGTCCTAGTTCCTCTCGAACCTGAAAACCAAATGCATTCTATGGGCGTTGTCTACAGAAGATATCCAAG